GACCACACACAAAAAATTTCATCAAAATCGGTCCAGTCGTTTAAGAGAAGTTCAGTGACATACACACTCACAGAAGAATTATATATATAAAGATATAGATTACACATAATTGCACGCCAACGCCGGCAAGCCTCAAACATGTCATGGCATGTCAAACAATACACAAAATACAAACAAATTTTTCCTTTACATGCTTTTCACATGATGTGGATCTTCTCTTTCATCACTCTTGAAGAACAGCGTATCATATTAAAACATAAGAATACTTTTATTATATTTTAGGTAGACAGACAGTCTCCAGACCTGCTACGATAACGTACATCAAATGGGGTGGTACTAGTGCAATACTCACAGGGTTGCCAAAAGCTTTTTTCCAAATTCATTATTTTATTAGAGAGTTCTAGAGAGAGAGGGTTACATATAAATACATTATGTTCGCTATTTGTAAAATTATTTTATGCGCGATTTAAATACCATTTTTCTTAGAGTTATGGTATTCGTATTTAAAGAGCTAATAAACCAAATAGGTATTACCTACCTATCTATATAGGTACTTAACCTTATTTGCTGCAGATTTCTTCATTTAATAATAACCGCAATCTGACGACATCTTTTTTAAACCTCTTTACAGAGAATTTCGGGTTTAAATTGTCTTTATATATATATAAGTACCTTTGTACTTCTTAAAATCTCTACTAACTCCAAAACTGGTATTTAAAGCTCGTAAAATATCTATCTTTATAAGTATTTTGATTTGTTCAACTTAATTAACATCTTTGATTTTCTACTTTGTGCAACGATTTAAAGATGAATAAAGAGCTATCTTATTATTAGGTATGATTTATTTTACTGCTAGCCCTTGAGTTAGGGCGGAAAGCTCTCCCCATGGAATTGAATCAATTCCCTCCAAAAGCGGCGATAACTTGAGTGAAATCCGCTTCCTATTCATTGATATACTCAGGATGGCAAGAGCGGACAATAATGCTAATATTTGACTTGTTCTGACATCAATTGAGTCAATTTATTTGTCAGCAAAATCTTTGAACTGTTCGTAATCTAGTAGAAGATTTTTTTTAAGATAAGTTTTTTTTTTAATTTTTTGCACTTTTATAAACTCTTAGTTGGAAAACTTTTGATTTGTTATACCAGTTCATTGTGTACCTAAGGCGTGCCTTCGGTTTCGTCTGCAAAAAGTAATTCCGTACCTATAAAGTAAAAAATGGAACTCTTACTAAATCACTTCGTTGTCCGTCTGTTTGTTTAAGCATTACTGCAAAAACTGCTAGATTTTGGTATCCAAATAAAACTACATAAAGAGGTATCTGACTATAATCGAACCAGTATCCTTCACAGTCTAAGCTAAGCGAATGTACACACATTGAACTGGTGAACAACAAACAGGATGATAACTGTGTTTAATAAATGTTGATGAACCATTTCCATCGATGTCGAGTTTTTACAAAACCATTCAACACGGATTCATATTATATGGGCGGGAGCCGTGTGTAATTACCCGCTTGACAGGGTCGCACTCTACTCTCAACTTCACAAAGGCCACCAAGCCAGAGTCGGTTTTAAGGGACACTTGTGCAACACAAAAAAGTCTATACTTACTCACTTAAATAAAGGAAAATGTTTAAGGCCTAAATATAAATTTATTTTTCAACTACAATCATAATGTGGTTCAGCTGATAGAGAAGATTACCTAGGATGGTCCTACGAAAACAAGAAAAAATATTAAAAGAACCATTTAATTAAAAGGAAATAGTTTTTTTATGTTATTATATATTTGCGTTACAAAAGAAAATATTTTTAAATGTCATTTCTCAACGATTATGAAACATGTTTCATGACAACTATAATTTTAAAAAAACATCTGAATTTTTATGTTTTGGCTGTATTGTGTGCATAAAAAATGGTATTTATAAGAAATATAATTTATTAATGCAAATATGACATACTTTTTTGTACTTTTACAAATTAATTATTTCCTTTCTGTTCACTGCAATAACTCCGCCTCCGTACAAAAATATACATATACAGTATGAGGCTATATGGGATAAAAGCAATACAAGCTGTATTATATATATTGGGAAGATGAATATTTTTATGTGTAAAAACATAGATAGAGCCCTTGTGCGTCATAGCGTGGATCCTTCCCTATTTACGTTATTTCACGAAGTGTAGGAGCTGAACTCCTAAAGCCTTCTATTATAAAAGGTCGAATAGCAAAACTAAGTCCAGAGCAGGTTCACCTACTCCTGCCCTGGAAATGCTACTCGAAGGCCCTTAACGATTTGCAGAGGGCAGGCGGTTGGTGGTATGGGGAGCAGTCCGAGCCTTCCCGTTACCATGGCGACGCCTTCGAGATAAATCTCTTCTCAACAAGTTGGTATAATGTATAATGCAACAAGTGTTTGGAACTCTTCGTTATAAGAACGAATAAAACGTACCTACTTGGTATCAACTGATAGTTAAGCGTAGGACCATTAATGATTTTATCTTTTCGTAATACCTTTGAACAGACATTTTTCTGTTAAACTTTTATTCTATTGAAATTATAAAGGACAATGGGTAATGCTGGGCCCACCTCTCAATAGAAGTAAGATACATATGAATGAATAGGTATTTTTATGCTGAATAAAACTTAGTATTACAGCAAAGGTCAAAAGTCAGTACTTTCGGAGTTATGCTAGGTAGTAGGTACCTATTAAACTGCCATAAAAGTGATCCCAATCTAAGCAATTAATGATGGCAGTTTACTTCAGTAAAAGATTGACATTACCGAGACTCAAACTGTATCGTGTATTTATTATATGTTAGGCAGAGTCGACTTTAGGACATCGTATCTCTGAAAGTACTAACATTTGACCATAGGTTTGTTAATAACTAATGTTCCGCTTAAAAAGCCCTATCCAACGGTATGTCACATATTACTATTGAGGGGTGGGCCCAGACTCCATACATTTGTTTCCCACTATCCTTCGAAAGTTTGTATATTTGTTACTCAATCACAGAAAAACGGCTGAACAGATTAGGATAAAATTTCACACACAGACAGTTTATAACCTGGAAAGAGATATAGGATACTTTTATCCCGAAAAAGTGTTAGGTTCGTAAGGGATTTTCAAAAAATCTAAAGCTAACGCGGACGAAGTCGCGTGCAGCCACTTATAAGTATCCTATGTCACTTTCCAGGTTATAAACTGTCTGTGTGTAAAATTTTATCCAAATCCATGCAGCCGTTTTTGCGTGATTAAGTAACAAATATACAAACTTTCTATAATTTTAATAGAATAACAGTTTTACAGAAAAATGTCTGTTCAAAGGTATTAAGAAAGGATAGTAAAATCATTAATGTTCTTACGCATATCTATCAGTTGATACCAAGTTGGTACGTTTCATTCGTTCTTGAAACGAAGAGTTCCAAACACTTGTTGCAACAAGACTGAAGACTGAAGTCTATGAATTCGCTATCCCCCTTACAGTAAACTAAGAATAGATAAGCTCGAAAATAAGCGTGGGTCAGTTACGCATTGTTTTTTGACAAAATACTGCGTTTGCTGTCATTAAGGGGGTTCAAAGATAATAAATGTAAGCGGGGTATCCTATAAAAGAAGCAAGATTTTTTGCAATATATTTTGTAGAAAAAAAACCTTTGAATTTTTATAATAATTTTGTGTATGATAGAAATCATAAGTAGGCCTACTAAAGATAGAAATAAACTTTCTGATAGATATTTATAAACGCAACTTTTTGATTTCAGTAAAAACAAATAATTTGTTCATTCACAAATATTGTTCATTCTTTTAATGTGGCATCTCATGTTAATAATTATATACGCGACAATTTCATAGTGTAAAATTTTATAGTTATTATAAAAATCTACTGCAATTTACGACATTTCAACGATATTATTTTACTACGTAATTTTGAATATAATAAATATAAAACGAAAGACAGATCTAACCACCATAGATCAAAAAGAACGATCCGCTATTATTTATTTTTAGTCATGATTGGTTATGTAAGTATGTCAGAAGACTGCCAAATAGGTTTAATGATAACACATTTTTATAAATCTAAAGTGGATTACATTCTTCAGGAACCCATGAGTCTTTCTTACTATTTTTGAAAGATGAAGGAAATTTTAGCTCATACGCTGAGATCACATCATATAATTAATGAGATAGCATTATTTCGATTTTATTTTTCATACATTCCGACAACGCATTCCATCATGGTATTTGAATAGATAGCTCGGTAAACTCATGTAACATTGCTTTTGTAAAATTCTATATAAAATGTAAGCCGTACGATGCTTACTTACAGGTAATTTTAATTAAGTAGATCATTTATTATGTAAGCAATTAAGTCTACATAATATAAGTTTATATCTATCATTCGTTTGCATTTAATATTTAGTAAGGATTGATAGCTCCAATGTAGTAGAATGCTGTTGTAACGTAATGGGTAGAATTTCTAAAGCTTTTATAACCATATGAGTTTCCACCGGGTATGTTCTTTATCTCTAAATAGCCTACGGCGCAGATTCTATGCGAACGTAACCGCGAGCAATTTTGTCGGTAATTTTTTCGAACAGCATCTTTATCCTACCAATGTTAAAATATACTGTGGTTAAGTGCCTTCATTGAGTTGTAGTTAGCTGCATCATCATCATCAGCCTATTAATATCCCTGCTGCTGAGGCGTCTTTCCTAACGATGAAATAGGGAGATTAGGCCATGACCCATCATGCGGGCCCAGTGCGGATTGGATTATTTAAAAAAATTATCCATTCTTGAATATGTAATGGGTCCCGACTGTTAAAGTAGCTTTGTTCCTTACTTAATAGAATTATAGACTACTGGACTTGTTTCTTTTATTTTCAGTTTCTATATGAAGTAATATTTTAGCAGTCGGGTTTTTTGATTTTTAAATTTATCATTTTTTGTAAATATGACAAGCAAGACGATCGAAGATTTAGGTCAATGGAAACGTTTAATATTTAGATACTCCTTTAAGTACCTCATCTGCACAACTTTTTATTTCTTCCCATGATAAGTCGATGTCAGAATTCTCTGTAAAGCGGGAGCAAATAGCGAATCTTAGGAAATAAACATCATCAATCTTCGACGGGACTAAGTGAATTTTGCCTCTACCATTTATATTTCTCAAAAGCTCTTCATTTATCTCATTGTTCCTCTTCAATCTGAAACATACAAGACCCATGGTGACCTCTTCATATATTTCAAATCTGTCGTCTTTGTTGCAGAATTCTTCAAAGTAATGCGCGAGTCCTATTTGTTTCCTGATATGTTTCTGGAGATTCTCAATTCCGTACAGTCTCAACACAAACCACAACTTGAGTGCTCTAAAACGACGTCCCAGAGGGATTTGCCAGTGTCTGTAGTCAGGAGCGGCACCTTGATGGTCATGTTTCAAGTAAAGTGGATCGACATTGAATGCGTCTACGACCCATCGTGGATTCTTCAGCCACATGGTGGAGCAGTCAAAGTTGACGAGCATCCATTTGTGAGGACTGAAGTTGAAGGAATCCACCTTTTCTACACCCTTCATCAGGTAGCGGTACTCTGGACAGATAAATGCAGAGCCAGCATACGCCGCGTCCACGTGCAGCCAAATGTCATGAGTGTTGCAAACGTCACCCAATTCATCGAGAACATCAAAGGCGCAAGATGATGTAGTACCCAATGTAGCTACAGCCTGTAAAAAAACAATAGGCTACTTATCAGTGAAGAATCAACAAAAGATTTTTAGATACAGCCTTATTTTTTTATATTAATCTGAATTCTAGCCCTCTAGCTAGACATACCAAAAACAATTATACTATTATAGGAACTCGACGAAGAAAGCAGTAGTGTTTTCGATCTTCATTCGGCCAGTCATAGGGTGATGACCACAAAAACATACTACGTATGACTATCTCGAGGCACTCCTTGCTTCAAAAGTAATGTTAAGCCGGTTTGGGTGTACAGAGGGGGCAGGTGCCACAGCAGTGGGATCATAATGAGTCCGATGATGAGACTAATGAATTCTGCAGAACTCACAACAATCCTTTAGTCGTAAGGTAATCATAGTTTCTTTACGAATTATTTGAATTCGAATTAAGGAACTTCGGAGCACGATGCAAGAGCACAGTGTTATTCAAACCTTATGGTAATTGTGTAGGGCGTGCCGGTGCTTTTTGTCAAGCTTCAGCATGCGCAACTTCGCCGCCTAGCAAACCAGCGCGTTTCACGGTCGAGTGCGGACTGTACTATCGTATCCCACTTACATAGAAAGGTATGAGCCCGTTCTTCAGGTCCTCTTTGATGGCGTCCTTCAGCGTGTCGCCGCGCAGGCGGTGCTTGTTGTCGGGTCTCAGTGTGCGCAGCTTCACGCCTCCCAGCAGTCCAGCGCGCTCCACGGATGAATGGGCTTGCTCTAGAATAACAATGAGAGCCAGACTTTGATCGATAGCATTAAATATTATACCAGTAACTGAAAAGAAAAGGAATGCTTTTATGATCTCTCCGTTCACCTTTTATAGGGTGTGGTAAGGAGCTTGAGGGCGCAGTGGCTGGCACATTCGGTCTGTGTTTGGGGAAGTTAAGTAACTTTTGAAATGGCCATTCATTGGATGAGGATCTAATATTATATAATTTTGAGCTCCTCTGTCCTTATGAAACAAGTTAAGTCGTTGTTGTAAGTAAGTACATTTCATGTATAGGAGTTTTATGGTAAATATAGATTTTTTAAAATTGGCAAAATGAAATGAATTAATGAAAGTGCAACAACTTACTAAAGCATAGACAAGTTTTTGTCTAAATACGTGATCCTACAACAAGACTATGTACGGCTCGATACGGCCATAATTTGTTGTATGTTTACTCCATATCGCTGAGTAATTGAATTTAAGATAAGTTTGATACTTACTGTTGCAGTAGCCCACAAGTTTAGACAGAATCTGTGCGTCGGTCCAATCAGGGTGCTGTTCTTTGACGCGCTGGATGGTCCTGGCTTTAGCGCCGAGCAGAGCTACAAGGGTAGCCTCACTGGCCGTCCCTTGGATGACTCCACCGCCCTCGCCGCCGGAGCGAGCAAGAAACGGTTCCGGCAGACTAAGCATCTGACCTAGCCAGTCCAGCATCACTACTTCCAATTCAGTGCACGCTGGGCTTGCGATCTGAAAATAAAGACTATTTTGAAAAATTACGAAACACCGCAGAGATTTTATGCAATAAAGAGTTTACAACTTTTAGACCAGTTTTATTACTATGACCGCCCAATAAACTTATTCCAAGCCTTAACACTCGTGATTGAGTCGCGTTAGAAATTCATTAGAAGCTATTCGCAACTCTAGCTTGGAGAGGTTGTACTGTTGAGGGAGGCGCTCGACCTGGACGGTAGAAGGTCTATGGTACGTTTGAATACTAAATTAGTTTTGTTTATGAAAATCAAAAACAAAACAACATCAAGAAAAAAAAATGAAATTTAATTGATAATTATTTTTCAATTTCGGCCATGGAAAATATAAACAAATTAAAAGACCAAAACAACCATAAAAATTGGAGAAAAATTACAAAATTGTTTATATGTATATACAAAAGGGCTTATTGAAGGGGCTAAAGAATTCAATGATGCAAAAGCACGATTCATTGTATTAAGCTCAATAGACGAAAAGTTCATACATTATGTAATTAATTGCTTCTCAACTACAGAAATCTATGAAAAACTAGATTTTATATTCCAATTTGAAAGAAAAAAAGACAATCATGAAAAAATTATAGAGCTTTACAGCTATATTCCCACCAGTAACACAATAGAGGATATAAGCTACTTAAAGAACTTATTCTTAGAAATCAACCTTGTAGAACCAAACATCATTACAGAAGAAATGTTAATAAATAAGGCATTAACTATCCTGCCCGAAAATCTAAATTACTTTAAGACGGTGTGTGACAATATATAACTCAAAAATCAGAAAAGACCATTTTTAATTTTATACAAAAAATACAGAAACAATAGACGGATTCGAGTCCCGTCTTCTGCCTGGTCCGAGTATCTACATCATCTGCCCTGACTAAATGACTACATCATCAGAAATTAATAACCAAGCATTCAAGTCTGATGAAAGAAAGTGTTACAACTGCGGTCAACAAGGACACATTGCTAGGGTTTATAGATTTGTCACAAAACAAATCACAATACAAGAAACGGTTTTTTGGAGATCTGTCGGAAGTGCAATAAAAAGGGTCACATAGAAAAAATCTGCCACAATAACTATTCCAATAGCATGGTAAGCGAACAATTTCAAATTCGAGTCAAAGCAGTAGTTGACTCAGGTGCCTCATCACATTTTTTCAGCAATAAAAACATTATCCAAATTACAGAGAAAGTAGTAATATTGTTTTAAACTTTCATGGTCACTAACATTATAGCTATTAACGGGATTGTTACCATGTACCTTGTTTTTTATGAGTCTCCGATATTTCGGCACTGTTGCAAGCGCCATGATCACGGAGTAACTGAAGTAATTGCGGGTAGATGTTATTGGCAGACATATCGGTCTACCCTCTGACGTCTTCTTTTACTGCGCTCGATACCCCTACCATTGGTCACAGTCTCACTATGCACTCGCACCTATTCCCGACACACAATACTCACAGTATCAGATCATGGAACGACACTGTTTTGATTATTGCGCTTTTTGCACATTTGTTCTTGGCTAACTAATAACAGAATCAAAGCAAAATTCCCTTTGGAAATTATTCATACAGATATTTACGGCCCCATTGAAGTTCCCACTTGGAACAAAAAAAATTATCACATTTTTAGACGAATTTACGCATTTCTGGGTCGTGTACTTGATCGCTTTCAAAAATGAGGGCCTTGACAAAATTAAAGAATCTGTGTGTTTAGCTAAAAATCAAAAATTAGATGCGATAATGAGAATGAATACTCGAGCAATAACCTACATGCATGGTGCCAGGTCAAAGGGATAGTACTGCATGCAACCATACCTTATACGCCTCAACTAAATGGAAAAGCTGAAAGACTGAACAGAACCCTGATGGAGAGAACAAGGGCTCTAATGTTCAACGGCAAGGTTCCAAACTATGTGTGGGTTGAAGCACTGTAAACAGCAAGTTTCCTGATCAACAGATGGTAGAAACAAAATACCAGCGGAAATGTGATTCAAGATAAAACCCAAGCTATCAAATATCCGAAGAGTTAAAAATGGGTTTAAGTTAGATCAATGTATTTTTGTAATGGAAAGTGAAAGAAGGATAATTCTTGTGATTTATGTTGATGATGAACTAGTAGTTGGTGAGAGAGAAGAAGACTTGGCGCATGTAGTGGAAACATTAAGAAAAGGTTTTGATCTAAGAATCTGCGAAGAAGTATCAAACTATTTTGGGCTGGGCATAACACAAAAAAAGGAAGGAGTGAAAGTTTGTTAGAAAAATTATATCGAAATGGAATCGAAAATTTTTGAAGAAGTTTTTTTTTTTTTTTATAGTTAGGTCCGACAAATGACTCCACCCCACCTGATGTTAAGTGAAGGTGAAGTCCAGACGCGAAGATAGCTGATACAGCAGTTCTACCTGCCACACCAGCCATCCTCACCCTGCCGGCCTGCATGTTGCTTCTTCACGCCTCTTTTAAAGGATCCCAGGTTGTAAAAGGGAGGGAACACGTGAGCGGGCAGAGCATTCCATTTACGGATAGTGCGACAAAGAAATGAGTCACCAAATTTCTTTGTACGTGTTGGAATTGTGGCCACAGTAAGACGGTGACAACGTAGGCCAGCGCGCGTGGTCCTCTGAAGGAAAGGGGAAGGTGGGATAAGAGAGAATAACTCCTCAGAACACTCGCCGTGGTACAAACGATAGAACGCGCTTAGTGACGCCACGTCACGGCGTAATTGAAGAGGCTCAAGGTGTTTAGTCACCTCCTCATCGCCTATGATGCGGATCGCGCGCCGCTGTAACCTATCCAAAGCATCGAGCAAGTACTTGGCGGAGCCATCCCAGAGGTGCGAGCAATATTCCACGCAGGACCGCACTTGCGTTTTGTACAACAAGCACAGTTGATCGGGCGTGAAAAAACGCCGCACCTTGTTCAGGACTCCGAGTTTGCGTGAAGCTGTTTTGATCACGGTTTCGATGTAGTCCTTTGGATTCAGGTCTGAGCGAACTTCCATACCGAGCATGGAAATGTTGCTCTGCAGCGGTAGTGTTGTGCCCTGAAGAGATGGAAGGGGAAGGAATGGCGATGTTTTTGCCGTGAAAGCGCAAGCCTGAGTTTTCTTGGCATTGAACCCAACCAAGTTCCTGGTACCCCATTCGGAAATGTGGTCCAAAGCCTGATTGAGTTCAATGACAAGATTTTCCCGTTTCTCCCTGGTTACTGCCTGCCCAGCCGCTGCTTGTCCGAGATACCCCGCATGCACTGTACTATCGTCTGCATAGCAATGAATATTCCCAAGAGGAATCAAGTCATTGATATGCAGCAGAAAGAGAGTGGGGGATAGGACGGAGCCCTGGGGAACGCCGGCATTCACTGACATGAACCGCGAACTGCTACCATCCGTAAGGACACGAATTCTACGCTCATGCAGGAAGTCAGCTACCCAAGAACAGAACTGGGCTGGCAGACCGTATGCCGGAAGCTTGGAGAGAAGGCTTTTGTGCCAGACCCTGTCGAACGCCTTGGCAATGTCAAGGCTGATAGCCAACGACTCGCCACGCTTGTCGATAGCCTCACCCCAGATATGAGTTAAGTACGCTAGAAGATCACCCGTCGATCGTTTCGGTCTAAATCCATATTGACGATCATTAATCAGGGAGTGATCCTCTAGGTAGCGGGTCAGATGGTTATTAAGGACCTTTTCTAGAACTTTACATAAAACTGAGGTGACTGCTATTGGCCGATAGTTTGCCGGGTCTGAGCGATCCCCTTTTTTGGGCACCGGTTGCACGTTAGCATCTCTCCAAGTCTCCGGCACACGCCCCAAAGAATACGAGCATTGGTACAAGCGCGTGAGCACGGGAGACAACTCCGCTGCACATTTTTTAAGTACTACTGCTGGGATGCCATCAGGTCCACTAGATTTCCGGACGTCGAGTGATTGCAATTCGGCACGAACCTCACGCTGCCTGATTTTAATATCAGGCATCGTTGTGCCACAGTGAAGTAATGATGGTGGCAGTGCATTGCAATCATCGATTCGGGAGTTAGCCGCAAAGAGTTTTGCCAGTAAATCGGCTTTCTCCTGCGGCTTATGAGCTAGTGTTCCGTCTGGGCATCTCAGAGGTGGCAGCGAGGGCTGGCAGAAGTTTTTTTGCACGGCCTTGGCCAAACGCCAGTAGCTACGGGAGCCCGCAGGATGCGTTATAAGTTCCTGGCCAACACGTGCAACACGCTGGGCATCCGCTCTGATGTAAGCCTTCTTACAGGCCTTGGAAGCGGAATTGTAGGCTGCTTTGAGTGAATCGACCCCGGGATCCTTGAGAGCGCGGCCTCTGATCCAAGCACGATATGCCGCTTGCTTACGCGAAGCAGCTTCAGCACAGTCGTGATTGAACCAGAGGTTACGTGTGCCCTTACTGATGAGATCAGAATGAGGAATATAGTATTCCATACCCATTATGATCTCCTCAGTAATGGCAACGGCACTGCCCGATAGGTCCCTGTCACTGAAGCAGCGCTGCTTCCAAGGGACGGACGCAAAGTAATCACGCATACCGTCCCAATCTGCCGACCCATAATGCCAGATACGGCGCTTGACCACTGCTGGACGCGGAGGCTTGGCCTGTGGTGCTTTGGCAGATATCAGGCAGTGGTCGGACGAGCCCAGGGGAGCTCTTACCACAACCTGATAGCCCTGTGGATGAGTCTTGAGCAGAAGGTCCAGTAAAGAAGGCGCTTGACTTGGAATATCTGGGATCCTGGTGGGCTGATCAACCAGTTGCTTCAAGTCATGCGTGAGAGCGAATGTGTGAGCAGAGATCCCTGCATGGTCAGTTTTGGAAGAACTTAACCACAAATTGTGGTGAGCATTAAAGTCCCCCAAAAACACCAATTCTGCATTGGGAAATCGCTCCTGCGCGTCATCTGCTGCCCGACTAAGGTGTTCAAAAAGTCGAGTTGTCTCAACATCACCGGTGTGGGATCTGTAGAGGCACACGTAGACTCTGGCCCGGGGGCCAGAGTCGACGTGTACCCCCAGCATGGAGAAGGAGGGATCTTCCAAGCAGCGGAGACGGCGACAACCAACATCCGCCCGAACATACAGGCATACACCGGCTTTCGCTTTGAAGGACTCTTCAAGCACGTAGCCGGGATAATTAAGGTAGCCTGTGTCAGCAGGCGGAAGTATTTGTGTCTCCGTCAGGAACAACAATGCTGGCCGTGCTGTCTCGAGATGGTGGTGGACAGCGTTGAGGTTAGAGTGGAGTCCGCGTATGTTGCAGAACTCGACCTCAAACAGCGTTGAAGGCGTGGGGGTGTGCACCGCTGTACGTCCAAACTTTGTTATTGAGGCTGCCATGGTGGAAGTGAAAAAAAAAAGAGACGCGAAAACGAGCGGACGCCGTCGCGAAGAGTCCGGGCAAATAAGGGGGGTTTGTCTTCCCGATTGACTGCCTGCAGTGGAGATGCGCCGACCCGCCGGACGGAAGGGCCCCCGCACCCCCCCGGGAGTGGCCGCCGGGACCCCACGCCCCGGTCACCAACCGGCACGACGGTCCACCCCGAGATTATGCGTGACATGATGGGGCAGCCTCGCGAACTGGTTAGGAACGCTTGGGCCCCTGTACTGTGCCACGGGCGGCCAGCGGGACAGCCGTTTCTACGGGTCTCCCTGGCCGACGGGTCGATGCAGTCCTCCCGGCATCGGTTCCACGGATGCCTCCCCTGGACCGAATCCTTCGCGACAACTTCCACTCGAGCTCTGGTTGTACGCTGGCTGACCCCGAAACGCGCGAGAAGCACTTCACGGGTTTTTCACCATGCGCACGGTGGTAACAAACCAGGCGGGTGTTAGGCACCCTACCACCAGAAGAGCGGATGGAAGCTCCGACATCCCTTAGTCGCTTCTTACGACACCCACGGGAAGAAAAGGGGCGGTGAGTTGTATTCTTTCTCCGTCACCGCACGGATAAAACTATGAAGAAGTTTGATATGAATGAAGCAAGAGAGTGCAAAACTCCAACCATTTTGATAGAACAACACCCAGAGCTTAAAATAGACACAGAGAGTCATGAACTCTATAGGGAAATGATAGGATCATTATTATGTCTGGCGAATAAAACGAGGTCAGACATTAGCTTTCATGTAGGGTATTGCTCGCGTCAACAAAGTGCGCCAAATTTTAATGATTTAAAAAATGCACAAACGAATTATAATAATTTAAAAGGTTCGAAAAACAAAGGCATTCGTTTTGGTGAAGGTGAGGTGCTTCGAGGCTACTGTGACTCAGATTACGCGGACGATCCAGACACTAGGCGTAGCACGTCGGGTTACGTGATTTGGCTGAACGGTGGACCAGTAGCTCAAGAAAGTAGTCAATTGTAGCGTTGTCAAGTACGGAAGCAAAGTTTATAGCCGCATCAGAATGCTGCAAAGAACATCAGAGACTTCATATATGAAATGACCAATGAGAAATTAGAAATAGAAATGAAAGTGGACAACCAGTCAGCTTATTGGCTTATGAAGAAAGGAATTATGAAAAAAAGAAGTACACACATAGATGTGAGATACTACTATCTAAAAGATCAGATTAATGCAAACAAAATAAGAGTCAAATACTGTCTAACGGGTTCGCAGATAGCAGACATACTCACAAAGTGTTTGCCACCTGTGAAGTTTGAGAAGTGTCAAAGAAAACTTATATCAGAGTGAGTATTAGGTAGTGATAAGTGTGGGCAAAAGTGAACTAAGTGCGTTTTCGTTCAATATGTGGGGAATAAGTATATAAGTTTTATAGGGGTGTGTAATCTTATATATATATAAAATTCTCGTGTGACAATGTTACTTACCATACTCCTCCGAAACAGCTTGACCGATTTTTATGAAACATTTTATGTATATTCACTAGGTCTGTGAATCGGCTACTATCTATTTTTGATACCCCTAAGTGATAAGTGCTGTCCACCCCTAACATTTGTTTAGATTTTGTTTTTTTTATTTTTTTATAATGTGGCATTAAAAATACATCATCATTATACATGCTCTAAATTTTCACCCTTCTACCACCCATATTTTTATGGCAATACGAAGTTCGCTGGGTCAGCTAGTATTTGTATAAGAAACAAGTTATGTAAAGACGTGATGTAAACTTAAGAAGCCCAGTCAATTCACATTATCAGTTGAAAAAAGGGTTAAGGGGGTGCGTACGTACAATGTTTAAAAAGAGTGCTTATACGATTAAGGGGGCATATGAAATATGTGGAGATAGTTAAAAGCATAAACTAAATAAATATTTTTTTCAAAACGTAGAACAAAACAAACATCGGCAACGTGTTGACATCAAACTGTGAATAACTTTGTAGTTTGATATAATAATTACCTATACAAAACTATTTGGGGATTAGCATTAAGTTTTCTATCACACGTTTACTTTTATAATTGGATTTAGTTTATATTTGATGTTTTGTTTTGTATGTTATGTATGAGTGAGTTAGATGATTGAAAGAGTAGAAGTCTGTGTTGTCTTAATGATTTAGTAGGTTAATTGATTTTGTATTCAACTGTGTGTTAAAAGAAGTTAGAACTTATAATTGATACATCGAGTAGGAGTTAAAGTTAGTTGAAGGTTTGTAATAAGGTAGGTCGAGTAGGAGATGAGCTACTTGAAGGTTTTGATTTGAAATGAAGTTAGTAGCTCGAGAGGTAGAAAGATTTGCAATGTGATATGGTATGTTAATTTTATGTTAAAGGGTAGACAGGGGGTAATATTGGATAGGTAAACTGTATCTGATATAAACTTGAGATAGGGTAATGTAACTGTTGGTATGAAGCATTCAAGAAGTATGAAGTTTGGCAGGTAATTCGAAATTTATCATAGTGGTGTACAAATAGTTAGAAAAACATTTATGTCAGGATGGTCAGCTTGGGCAGCAGATTGAGGGGGTGTGTTAAGGGAGGCGTTCGACCTTCACGGTAGAAGGTCTATGGTACGTTCGAATATTGAGCTAATTTTGTTTATGACAATCTGTTCTGCACATGCGCTGCAGTCGATATTTGACACTTTTTATGTTCAACCGTTGATATATTTGGTCGGTCATAAGATAAGTTTATAAAGAGCTGTGTTTAAGATGATGTCATAAAATAGTGTAGAGACAGTGCAATAAATGTATTACAAAAGTCTACTGGTCTTATTCATCGCCCTCTAAAATTTATGATATCACTCAATATTTTTTAAATTACCCAGGTGAACCCAATGCAGGCGATCGCGCCGCTAAGCATGTCGGCTACGATTGCCGGGTAAGAGTTTGCAGCGGCAAAGTAGGCGTGGAAGCGCGGCGAGTGCCAGTGGGTGACGCCGGACATAACGACACGCTCGATGTCCGCCATCACCGCCGTCCATGGCTCCGCCTGCTGCGGCGCCTGCTCAGGCACCAGCGGCCGGAGGTAGCCCGGCTTCACGGACGGCACTACTTGTCTGGAATTGAGTTTCGTCGTGTTATTGTGGGTTTTCTGGGATGACGGGCGCCAGGTGACAGCACTGAAAAGAAAGGTCTACTCATCCGTCTTCATATATGGATCAATTTAAATTCATGTTTGATTAATCCGCGACAAAAATTTCATATAGAATAGGTCTCGTATCACAGTGACACCAAACACCCTCCTCATTAGTGGAGAAACCAATCACTTAGTCCCAATTTTGCAACCCTGAGATGAGACATTCCCGTTAAATAACTGTATAATTGTTGACATTATCTTAATATATTAACTCCTAAAATATTCTTATCAGAAGAGTCTAAGCAATAGAAATTTTTGACCTATTTTTTATATTCTTTGTTATTAATAATAAACAAATTCATTTATTAGTAACTAAAGAAAAATAAATTAGAATAAATTATATTATTTCATAACGATGATATAAAAAACTTTGTACTTTGCGTAAATGATGCATGTTGCTCTGACTTCTTTGATTTTTGTATTTATTTAACCCTAAAAGAAAACTAAGAAACCCCTATATCCCCCCAGGTGAAATGATACTCCTAATAAAAATCTGCACGCGGATTATAACAACTAAAAAAAAGGACTTGTGAGTACTTTTAGTAACGTAAAATGTTATTTCAATTGAAAAATAGAATCGGAGTATATTTTTGGGGTAGGTAACCTTCACTACACAAATAAAGCTGTAGCCAGAGGAGTTGGGTTTGGTCGTATGTCTTAGCTCCACGTGGTAGGGGTAATGAGATTAGGTCATCACCGAGTGGTGGGATGGAGTACCTTATTTGAATAGAATTAATGCATCTATGGATATACAAGGCTTAAATCAACATCTATATGTTGTAGCCATTTCATAGCATAATAAATATATTTTTAATTTTTATTATTTTAAAGCATGTAACTGCTTGATGTTTAAATCTAAAGAAAATATAACTAGAAAAAATTCGGCGACCTGGCTGCAGACGGGACTCGAACCAGCACCTTCGCAATCCGGGCGATATGCTACCGCGGTCCTCACGGATCGCGTCGAAATTCTTCTAGACATTCTTAAGCTGCATGGCAGCGCCATCTCTTCGCATTATAGGTAACCCACAATGTCAACTAGAAAACAAAACTTCGCCCGGATTGCGAAAGGTGCGGGTTCGACTCCCGTCTGCTGCCTGGTCCGCATGGATTTTTTTCTAGACACATTTGATACACTTCTGGACACATCTATTGGCCCACCTTGTATTTTCAGTTTCGTTTGGTCCTAGCTAAAATTTTATATTAGGTCGAGCAAAAAGTTTTTATGCAGTTTTGAACCTGGCACATTCACAATTTCATTCAATAGTCTTTTTTTGAATTTCGAACACAGAATTTAAAGAAACAAAAGACAATTTGGAGCCTGTTTGTTGATATCAAACAATCGAATACTAAGAAAAATTGGTTTTATTGGTTTACTTGGATTTAATTCTTGAAAAAGTGATTGATATCTTTGGTTTTGCATCAAACATTACTTATTCTTAACTTTAAGGTGAGATTCTATCAATAATCTATGGATACTTCACCTGAAGTCGCCGCCCAAGCTGTGGCACTTATTCAGGCCGGACACAGCCAAAGAAACGTGAGTGCTCAACTTAATTTAAGTTGATCTGCGGTCCGAAATGTTTATCGGAGTTACCTAGAGACTGGCGGCTTTGTTCGTCGCCAAGGAAGGCCACGATCTCAGGTCACAACTGAAAGGCAGGATCGATTCATCGTGACGACCAGCTTGAGAAATCGTCACCTTACCTCCATTGAGATACAAAAACAAATTCGCGACTTCCACGGAGTATCTGTGAGCGCTCGAACTGTTCGGAAAAGGTTAAAAGAACGCGATATGGTACCACACAAGCCCAAATGGGCCCAAACTAACGCGAGCCCACCGAACAGCGTGCCTTCATTTCGCACGCAGTCATTTAAATTGGACACAGCAAGATTGGAGCCGTGTACTCTTTTCTGATGAGTCTAAAATTGTGTTACATGGCAATGATGGAAGGAAGAAGGTCTACCGACGTAAGGTAGAGCGTTTCGCACAATGCTGCTTTGAAGAGAGGGTTGCTTATGGCGGTGGCTCATGGACTGTCTGGGGCGGTATATCCGCGAGCGCCAAAACTCAACTTGAGGTTGTTACAGGACCACGGCTGCCAACATTAAATGCTGAAAGGTACATTCGTGAGTGCTTAGAACCTCACGTGATACCATACGCGGACTATGTGGGCCCAAATTTCCTTTTTATGCATGATAATGCAAGAGCCCATGCGACCGGCATCGTCAGGGAATATCTTCGGGATGTGAACATCACAGTTATGGACTGGCCAGCCAGAAGCCCAGTCATGAACCCCATTGAGCACATGTGGGACGAGCTAAAAAGACGTGTTAGGGCTCGTCAGCCAGTTGCCCAGACGATGCAGGAGTTGAAAACTGCCATAGAAGAGGAATGGGAGATGATTCCTCAAAATTTCATAGAGCGGTTGATAAACTCTATGCCTAATCGAATGAGAGCTGTAGTAGATGCCGATGGAGGCAACACGCGTTATTAAATTAAACCTTTATTTGATAAAACATGTTTTTTATTCAAAAATCAATTGCCTTTAACAAGGCGCATATCCGACTTGTTAGGCGTAGCTCCATGTCGTATGGTATTCTGAATTCAAATTTAAAACAATACGATCGAAAAAGATGGTAAAATGTATCAGGTTTAAAACTGCATCAACAGTTTTTGTTCAATCTAGCAATCATATTTCGGTAGGGGCCATCGAAATGCTTTTAGATGCTTTTGTAATTTTTATCTTTAACTGTACTGTATATTGCGATACCCTGACAGGGTTCATGTTAGGTACTATAAACATTTTGTAACCATCGATGTAACCACATGAGTGCAATAAATTGAATTGAATTGAATTGAATTGAAACCTAAACTCTAAGGTGGGCCAATAGATGTGTCTAGAAGTGTATAAAAAATAATGTATATAAGAATAATTGAAACCGCAATAGGTAAGTAACAATAATTTATTGCAACCGATTGCTAATAGATATCATTGGATGTTTATATAATCCATGCCAGAATATCGAAACTCTAATATATATATATGTCTTATGGGTATTTAAGCTACACTTAGGTAATTGTCAACAATTGGTTTATGTCAACTTATGAAATTATTTACCTATCTCGGATATTTTCCAAGTATTCGGTTATGTAGTCAGTCATCGCCTTAGCGAAGTCCTTGAAATCTCCAGCCTCCATTACTGTAATCAATCATAAATAACAATTTAGTATAAAACTTACTTCATGAAATACAAATGACAACGAATAATATAATGATCACACTACTACTACAGACAGACCTTTGATAGCCATTCATAACTGTTTGCTATTTTATATTATATAATAAGCATCATAAACGAAGGTGATACTGAAATAGTAATATGGAAATAAATACATTAGGATTATATTGTAGTATTCTGAACCGTATCTGAAAAGTTGAAGTCATAAATAACTTCTTGATATTGTGTTATTAAGTGCTATATTATAGAACTAGCTGTATGCAAATAAAATATTTAAAATCCTTAATTTGGCAAACATTGGGAAAAACACTACAACCTAACATATAAGCAAGTCTTTATGGAAATACAATAACTAAGGCCGCGTTGTTTGAAACATAATCAAAATAGTAGTGTAAAATAAATCATTTGACAAAATTTTATACATTTACATAGGGAAAATGAGCAAGGTTACGAACATAAAAACAGAGCTGGTTATTTAGATATGTTAGCGAAACACGGTATAATAATGGGCCACAATAAACCCACTAGAGAAAAAAGTTCTTTGGATCACGTCATGCTTAAGTATGACCGGTCAAAAATACTGTCTCACGTTGCAGTCCTGAACACTACTATCACTGACCACTCCATGGTTTTCTTACACCTTGGTCATCAACATTTAAAAACTAAACCTAATAAAATTAAAAGAGTTGTAAACTTTGATAAGGCAGTACTCACACTGACAGTAAAAAAAGTAAATAAATTGACCTACAACTGTGATCCTCTGGAAGTAACTCAAAAGCTAATCAACAATTTAATAGAGTTTCTGAAAGATAACACCAAAAAAGTACATATCCCTAAAAAAGATCGAGTTATCAAGCCGTGGATAACACCGGGAATTTTGAGGTGTATTAGACACAGGAATAAATTACAGCAAAAGCTTCGTTCAAATACAGAGGACGACATACTTAGAAACACCTATAGACGCTATCGAAACTTTTGCAGTAATCTAATCAAAAAGCTTAAAAGAGATCATGATAGAGAGGTGCTTAATAAATCTAAAATAAATACTAAAACCTTTTGGAATACGATATCAGCCATAACTCACATAAAATCTTCCAAATCTGAAAATTCAAAATTACTTAAGCTAAAAACTACACCTGAAGAATCTGTAAACTGTATAAATGACTATTTTGGCAATATTGGTAAAAATCTGGCCGATGCCATACCTCAAAAAGATGGCTTAAATAACAACCCTCCTCTACCATTGGATTCCTTCGTGCTATTGAATACAGATGATGATGAGGTTAAATCTGTTCTAATGAGTTTAAAATCCGACAGTGCCCCTGGATCTGACAATATCCCAACTAGTTTTCTAAAACGGGCAAAAGACGTGGTTGTCCCAGTTGTTACTCGCCTCTAAAACCTCTGCTTTTCTCAAGGTATTTTTCCACCTCAATTGAAGGAGGCTTTAATTACACCAGTTTACAAGAATGGAGATACAAGTGACGTCAACAATTATAGGCCAATTTCAGTATTATCAGCTATTTCCAAAATTATTGAAAAACTTTTGAATAAGAGACTGTTGAGATATCTTGAGAAATATAACATCCTGTCAAATTTCCAGTTTGGGTTTAGAGCTGGCAAATCTACTGCTGATGCCATCGAGTCACTAACTTCCATTGTAACTGAACATCTGGACAGAAAACGCAAATGTCTCGCGGTATTCTTAGATTTAAAAAAGGCCTTCGACACCGTTTCTATCCCCATCCTTGTTCAAAAACTGGAGAAGGTGGGCATCAGGGCTAAACCATTAAGCTTATTTAAGGACTATCTGTATGGCAGGATGCAAAAGGTAAAGGTGGGCGAATATGTGAGTGGTACAACTGGTGTAGCCTACGGTGTACCACAGGGGAGCATCCTGGGTCCGACGCTCTTTCTCATTTACATAAACGACTTATGTAATATGAGTATTCAAAATGCAAGCATTCTGTCATACGCGGATGATACTGCTGTGGTTTTTTCGGGAGAGAACTTGGATATTGTTAAGCATAGGACTGAGCTTGGACTGACTATGATTTCCGAGTGGCTAGTGGCTAATCTGCTTACCCTAAATATAAAAAAAACGAATTACATGTGCTTCTCTATCCAAGATAGGACACAGCCGACAACTGGTTATGATATTAAGATCCACTCTGGCTCCTGTATTCGTAGTATGTGTCAGGATTGCAGCTATCCATCCATGACTAAGGTAAAAAATGTTAAATACCTTGGGATTATGCTGGATCAGAGATTATCTTGGTACTCTCATATTGACCTGGTTGGATCTAGAATGCGGAAGCTGATATGGGTCTTTAAAACACTGCGATACGTAGCCACTAAGGATATGCTGAACCAGATATATGTTGCGCTGGCGCAATCAGTCTTGATTTACTGCATAAGGGTTTGGGGTGGAGCGCTGAAAACTAAATTTTTAGAGGTTGAAAGAGCTCAAAGAGCTCTCATCAAAGTTATTTATTTAAAAAAACGCGACTTGCCAACTGAGCTGCTTTTCTCTGTTAGGTTTATTAACTGTTAGAAAGCTATACATTCTTCATGCTGTATTACGAAAGCACACAACACTGTCGTACAATCCTAGTATCGTAGAAAAAAGAAGAAGAGACATAGTAGCATTAGTTCAGTGCTTTAACACAAGTTTTGCTCGCAATCAGTACCTTCACATCTCCTCCATCATCCTCCTAACTTACCGGGAGTGCAAGCTCAAACTGATGGCATGGCTCAAGACCATGGACTATGATGAAACTGAGAGCCTTCTTAATATTACTTACTAGCGGATAAAATAGCATTTGTACACACATACTCACGTACACTCGTCACACTCACGCACATGCACACACACGAACACGCACACACACATACACACGCATACAGACACACTCTCAACCGCTTATATAAATTATTTTTTTTTTTACAATGTATTAAAAATCCAATGAAAAGACCTTACCATAAGATATAATAATGATGCTATGGAAGAGTGGTTCCTTCTGGTACAGGTGTTAAACACTTAATTGAAGGAATCCACCCTGGTTTGGTGTACTTAAAGAGTGGTATAGTAATAAACTTTTTTGATTTTGAGATTGACATTAACTATAGATTGTCTAATTTAACTGTGTTTCAAACAACGTGTCTTAAGTTAACTTTTTATAAAATATAAATTTTATGCTCTCTATGCAATGATCTTAGAAGATCTAGCGATTTGGGCATCGCAATGATAGTTTAGTCCAGTATACTTCTTTATTATTATTATACTTTGGTTTAGGATTTAACATAAAATTCTATAATATAACAATGGATAAAACTTAAGGAAAGTCATACGTTTTTGTTATGTACAAGAAGTAGTTATGCTATAATAAGAAATACTTTATTTTTATACAGTTGCTCAAAAAGTGGCGCATTGCAGGGACGTATAGCGTTCGGGATGTGGGCTAAGTATGTATACTCGACCTTTTTCTTTACCTTTTACGAACTCTTGCGTTCTCTTTCCCAATTGTCAAAATAATGTCAATTAAAAAGAAAAATCTAACCACGAAGATTTTGCTAAATAAAATCATAGAAGTTTTTACGATTCATGCATATATTTCTAAAAAGAAGCTACTAATTTGTTTCAATATCAGATTTAATGATTGAATTCAATGAGTTAGGTTAGGTTTCATTTCATTTCATCTCATTAAATTTCATTTTAATTTCATATCAATAAAAAAATCTACTGAAGACTTGGCTGTATGGGCATAGTTCCCTTTGCCTACCCAGAATGGGTGAAGAAAAGAAAAAAATCTCTTCTTATATTCTTTAACGGTTGGCCAGAAAAAAAGGCGGGAAACGTTTAACTTGGCGGGCGCGTTTTTTGGCTTTGGTGCTTTTAATTTATTATTTAGTCTTAAAAGTGATCAGAATTGTATATTTGTATGTAAGTTGTATGTAATTTTGTATATATTTCATAATTTTTGTACATAGAAGGAGCTTAGGTAAGTTGCATAGTTTTCATTAATGAACGATCCCCCTGATGGGGGGCAGCCGGGGGACAAAGTTCCCCCGGCTGGACTTTATATTACTGTTTCCAATGAATCTGGCATGGAAACAGATGGATCAATTAATGGACGTACTTTGAAACGCAGTCGCATACACGTATGCAAGCAATGCAATAAAAAACGACGCAGAAACCAAGGTTCGGAAATGAATAGTTGCATATGTCATGAATTATCACCGAAAAAACCCTCTTTGCCTCAAGTCGAATGTTCAGAAAAGTCACAAGACGTTTCTGATCCTCAATCATCTTCCACTGTTCTTCAACCCACAGTTACTCCTTCTCCCATAGGTCGCAACCTCTATACTTCTACTGATAATTCTCCATTTGTGGTACATGTTCATAAAATACAGAATGAACCAAATGATAACGCATTAATACATCCTGTGTCATTTGGAAACTTCCTTAAAAAGAACAAGTTCGATAACATTGTTAATGGTAGTGTGAAACTTATCGGCCGTAATAAAATCACATTATCTTTTTCAACTCATTTGGCAGCTAACTCCTTCATTTGCAATAAAATTTTAGAAGCTAACAGAATGAAGGCCTTTATACCTACATTTAATGTAAAACGGATGGATCTAGTTCGTGGTGTTCCTGTGGAATGGTCCCCTGAAGAGATAATAGAAAATATTTCAGTGCCTATTGGTTGTGGTAAAATAATCAAAGTAAGGCGTATTAATTATAAAGTTTATCAAGAAAGCTCTGTAATCTGGAAGCCCACTCAATCAATTTTGATGGTCAAATTCTCCCTAAACGGATCTTTATGTGTTACAATTCATTGCCTGTGGACTTATATATTTACCCAACCATACAGTGTTATAACTGCTGCCGCTTTGGCCATACAAAAACACAATGTAGATCAAGACCGCGATGTTTCAAGTGTGGTGGGAATCATGTA